TCCAGGGGTTCCTCCTTGGGGTCTAGGAGGGGCTGTATCTCCTCATCACCCCCCACAGGCTCCAGCTCAGGTGGGGGGACGGGCACATCCGTCGGCTCGCTGCAGCTGGGGGGCTCCAACCTGGGCGGGGGAGCAGGTGAGGGGAGTGGCGATCAGGCCACCTTGTCCCTGGGGCTGCAGGAGATGTCCCCTCACCCACAAAGGGCCTGACACCCTCCCATAACCAGCCCCCCATCCCCACTCACGTCTGGGCGGGCAGGTCAGGCTGTGGTGAGCGTCCTGGTGCCACGGGGGCATCGGCTGCAGCGCAGCCCCCCTGGCAGCCCCCACACACCACGGACCCCTGGCAGCCAGGGTTGAGCCCCACAGGACACCGGCCACACTCGGAGCAGACCCGGCAGTTCTGGTGGGGGGAACAGAGGTGTGTCAGGGGCAGCAGTGGGGGGAAGCAGGCACCCCGTTACCCCCCTGAGTGAGAGCAGGACGCACCTTGCACCTCCAGGAGCCAGCAGGGAGGCCCTGGCTGGCTGGATCCACGCAGAAGGTGTGGTAGCGCTTGCCACAGGCCTCGCAGACCAGCATGGTGGAGTCCTGGCCGGGCTGCCTGTGGGGGACACGGGCACGTGAGAGCAGGGACCCCTCCTTGGGTGTGTCCCCCCTCCCCCACAGCAGGACTGGGGGCTCACCTGCAGGTTTGGCATGCTCTGCACTCAGGGCACTGCCAGCCCAAGCACCCACGGGGCGTGGGGGCCGTGTCCAGGCAGGCACCGTGGAAGTGCTGCCCACAGCCCGTGCACAGCACCAGGTCCCGCAGCTCGCCCGGCCCGGCGCACACGCGGCACTGCGCGTCCTCTGCGAGGGGGACACAGGGGGTCAGGGCCACCTCCTCACAGGGTCCTACCCTCCTGTATGGGAGGGGCCCAGCACCCAGGGGGGGTGTCCCCAGCCCGCACGCACCCATCTGCAGGGCCTCGGCCACGTGCTCGGGGCAGAGCAGCCGCAGGGTCTTCGTGGACTGGAAGCAGCCGCTGGCGGTGGCGCAGGGGAAGTGGTAGAGGCGGGAGCAGCCGGCGGCCGCCCGGCACGGGATGGTGGCCCCCACCCGCCCGCAGCGTTCACATTTCTGAGGGTACAGGAGCCCGGGGGGGGTCAGTGCTGCTGCACAGTTGAGCCCCCACAGCTCCCCCCCCCCAGATCCAACCACTCACCTGTGAGATCCCTGAGAAAACAGCTCTGGCCACAGCGGCCGCCTCCGGCCCCGCACCGGCCGCCCAGGCCGCGCAGCAGCGGTGCACCCAGCAGTGCCCTGTGGGGAGGGGGCGTCAGGGACAGCCTGGGGGGGACACCTGCAGCGGTGGGATGGGGACCCCGGTGCCGTGACCCCGCTCACCTGTCGGCTCGAAGAGCTGCGCCGGGGTCACCCCCTCGGAGAAGCCGATCTGTGCCAGGTCATCGCCCACCAGCTCGGGCTCCGTGGGGGGCAGGCTGGACCCCGGGGGGGGCTGGCCAGGCCCCTCGGGGGGGTTGCTGCCCACCAGCCACTCGGGCCAGTCGGGCACCGGCTCGAAGCGCTGCAGCTCCCACTGCCCGTGCGGGCTCCAGTCCCCACAGTTGCAGAGGGCGCAGCGGCGGCCCGGCAGGCTGGGAGGGGGAAACGTGGGGTGTCAGGGACGTTTGGAACATCCCCCCACCAGCTCCATGCCATCTCCGAGCCCCCCACCCTCACCTGCCAGTCTCGGGAGGTCCCTTCGTGTCCGTGCTCTCCGGCTCCGGCCCCGCGGAGGCTCCTTTGGGAGGTTTCAGGGGGTCCCCCTCCGCGCTGCCCATCTCCTCCGAGGCCACGGCCCCATCAGCTGTAGGGAGAGGGGGTGTCACCACCACGGGGGGGACACAGGGAGAGGGACAGTCCCCCCCAAATCAGGCCCTGCGCTCACCTGGCGCGGCCGCGTCCTTCTCCTCGCTGGGCGCCTTCTGTTCGTCCATCCTGCCTCCGGCGTCCCTGGGGGGGCCGCGGCTGTAGGGGGGCAATCTGTCAGCACAGGGACACTGGGACCTTCCCCGGCCCCGCCACAGCCTCCTGTGACCGCTCACCCAAGAGACAGGGCAGCCCCTTCCCCTCACTGCTCCCAAGGCAAGTTCACAGGGTCCCAAGCTGGGAGTAGGTCTTGGCTCCCTGGGGGTCCAGGAGACCCCCCCTCTGCCACAGGGGTCCTCACTGTCCCCTCATCACACTATGGCCCTCCAGGTGCCCCAGGGTCTGGGTGGGGACAGTACAGTGACACCCCAGCACATCTGGGGCAGCCAAACCCCCAGAGTGACCTCGATTCAACCCCTCAGGGTGGAGGGGGTCGGTGACCTCGGCTCCACTGAGCACCAGGACTCCGAGGACCCCCAAGACCCTCCCAGGAGCACCCACAGTGCTCGCAATGAAGGTGCGACCCCCCAGTGCCTCCCACGTGGGGGACTTGGGAGAGGATTTGGGGTGCAGCATAAAGCAGGGTCCCCTCCACTGGCACTTGCCTAGGGTTCAGTTTCCCCAGGCCCAGCACCGACCTTGCACAGCACCAGGGGGTCCTGGGATGGCTCTGGGCAGGGGGGGGAGAGTCCACCCCAGAACACAACACCCAAAGATGGAAGGGGGGCCATGCCCTGATCTGCAAGCCACCCCCTCCCACCACTGCTTCACGTGCACCCCAAAAACCCAGAGGGGCCCCAGCCGGCTGCGGGGGGTGGAGGACAAAAAGGGGACCCCAAACCCGACCACGAACCACACAGGGAGAGGGCGAAAACCCGGGGGGACCTCAACGCAGAGCCCGGGGCAGCAGGGAAGGGAGGAACGCACCGGGGCAGCTCCGGCACCCCAAAACCCGGCGACGGTCCGGAGGGGAACAGAGAGAGCCCCCGGGGGGGTCCCGGCCACGGGCTAAGGGCCAACCCACCCAGCAAACCTCCCGCTCCGGTTCCCGGTGGTCCCGGGGGGATTCGAGCCCCCCCCCCTCGGAAAGGCCCCGGGCCCGTGGAGGGGACGATCAGGCCGCGGCCCCGGGGGTCCGAACCACCACGCGGGGACACCTCCCCAACCCTCCCCGGCGCCCTCGGGCCGCACTCTCCCCGCTCCCCGGTGCGACCGGGGGGGGGTCGGGCCGGCCAGGCCCGCAGCCCCGGCCCCGCCGCGGCCTACGCGGGCACCGGCACCGGGCCCCGCGCGCCGGGCCCGGCCTTACCCGCGCCTCGGCCGCCCGGGCCCCGCCGGTACCGGGCACAAAGGCGGCCGGAGAGAGGAGGCCGCGGTCTCCGCGCCGGGCCCCGGCCAGGCCTTACCGGGCAGCGGCGGAGGCGGCGCGGCCCGAGCCCCGCTCGGCCGCGGGGGCCGCTCCTTCCGGGGCCGCCGGGGCCCGTCCCGCCCGCGCGGGCCCCGCGGCGGGGCCGCCCCCCGTCCCGCGCCCCCCGCCCGGTGCTCACCCCCCGCGGCCGCCCTACGCCGACGGGCCTCGGGGCGCGGGGCGTTCGGTGCTCCCCGGCGCGGCCATTTCCAGAGGAAAGTAGGTCCCGCCGCCCGCCCCCGCCCCGCCCCGCCCGCCCCGCCGGGGCCGCCGCCGCGCTGGGTCCTTTGGGGAGGGGGGGGTGAGGGGGGGGGGAAACCGCCGCGGACCGGGGCGGGGTGGGGGGCGCCGCCGCGGCTCCCGCACTACTTTGGGCGGCGGGGGCTTGCGGGCGGAGGGAGACGGTGCGCGGCGGCGGGCGCTGCGGCCGCGGGGGGGGGGGGGGGGGGGGGGGGGGGGGGGGGGGGGGGGGGGGGGGGGGGGGGGGGGGGGGGGGGGGGGGGGGGGGGTGTGACGGCGCGCGCGCGGCCGCAGCGCACGCTGCCGGGCGAGAGGGGCGGGGGGAGATCCCTCCGCCGCGCTTTAACCCCGGCGGCGCCGGCGGCGCACGTGGGCACCGGGGGGCGGGGCCAAGGCGGGCGGGCCACGCCCCCTCCTCCTCCCAGCACCGGGGCCGGGAGGACGGACGGAGAAGAGGACTGCGGGACCGGGAGCGGGCAGTCACGGTCATGCACACCGGGAGACCCACACGCCCCCATTCTCGACCCCACGGACCCCAAACCCTGGGCAGGACACGGGCCCGTGCCCCCCATGCAAGGGCACATCAGCCCCCTCGGTCACAGCCAGCGACCCCTCACCCTGCGACCCCCGGTGGGGCCGTGAGAACCCCGGAGAGACCCACGGCCCCCCATTCCCGGGAGCCCAAACTCCCAGGCCCAGAGATCTGGGGGGGCTACTCAGGGGGTGCAGCCCCCCACTAGGCCCCAGGCTGCAGCACCCCAGCCCCAACACCCCAGCATTGTCTGTGGGGGCAGAGAGAAACCCCCCCTGCACCCCAACACCCCACTCCCCACCAGCTCCTGCTCCTCTCTACCACCATAATTGGGTAATTAGCCCAACTGGGTGGAGATAAGCCACACGGGGAACAGCAGCCAGGCCCCCCCACACTCACCCACCCCAAGCTGCGGATCTCGGGGGAGAGAAATGGGGGGCACAGGAGCTGCAGAGCCCCCCAGGGTCCCCGTGACGGCTCTGGGGTCCTCAGGCCCATGGTGGGGGGCTCAGCCCCACAGCACATCCAGGCTTGGAAGGGACCCCAATGCTGGGGTGTTGGAGGGAGCTCCACACACTGTCTCAGCGATGTCCCCCCCCCCCCAGCCAGGAACAGCCCCCTCAGTCCAGGGGTTCGCAGACAAAACAAGGTTTAATTGTTCCAGCCCCGACTCCCACGGGTGCGGCACAGCCGGGAACAACACCCGCATTGAGCCCCAGCTCCCGGGGCAGGAGCAGCCCCATCGTGTCCTTGTGCGTGTGGGGGCACAGCAGTGACGGCCTGGGGGGCTCCTGGCTGGGACAGGACCCCCACCCTGCTCCCAGCCCCCCGTGAGCCCCCCAGCCTGGGCAATGGGAGGGGTCCCAACCAGCAGTGGGACTGTGTGCCCCCCCCCCAAAGCCACTGCCGTGGTCTGGGAGAAGGTCCTGGGGGGGTCCTGTCCCATCCAGGGGGTCTTGCCCCATTCTGGGGGGGTCACATGAGGCAGCAGCCAGTGGATCTGCCGTAGGAATCGTCCACCCGGTCGATCTCCTCGATGATCTTCGTGAAGATCCCACTGGGTCACCTGGTCCATCCACCCCACCTGGCTCTCCTTGGCTGAGGACTCAAGGAAAAAGGCCCCCCACGACTCCGCCAACTTCTTCCCTTCATCTGTCCCCACTTCCCAGCTGGAGACACAGCAGAGGACGGGCAGGACAGGCCACTCGGGGGGATATGGGACCCCCAGAACTCCCTCACCTCTGCAGGACCAGGTCTGCCTTGTTCCCCACTGGCACCACGGGCATGGGGAGGGTGAGGCCCCCCAGATCCCCCCATCCCCAGGAGGGACAGCACCTTCTGAGTGTTCCCCCAGCTCTCGTACAGCCTCTTGTGGAGGGTCTTCACCACCTGGAAACTGTGGGGGCAACGGGACCTCCAAGCTGTGGGGATGGCACAGGGTTAGGGGGGCTGCCTGGGACCCCCACAGGGCTCAGACCCACTTCTCCCCCGTTCCAGGGGCATCTCAGCCCCCCAGCACAAGGCTTTGGTGCACAAATCCTACCAGAAGTGGGGACACGGCTGTCCTCATCACCCATGGCCCCACAGGGCCAGCAGAAGGAGGACCCCGGGCAGGCAGCTCCCTGCACTCCCTGCCACGCGTGGAACTTACTGCTCTCCACCGTGGGCTCGTAGCACTCCACGAACTGGTGGGCCAGGGAGGCTTTACCTGGGGTGGGGGGAAACAACAGGGCTGGGGGGTCCCGCCATCACCGCGGGGCAGGGGACGGAGCCCCCTAGGAGGGGGGCTATAGGGCACACGAGGTGACGGAGGGTTTCCAAGGGGGAGTTCCCCGCTTTGCGATGGGGGACCCCTTGGTGCCGGGCCCCCGGCACAGCCCCCCCGCGTGCGCGCTAAGTCCCAGCGGGGACAGCGCCATGCCGAGCCCTCCGCACCGACCCACGGCGCGGGAGCCGAGGACGAACACGTTGCGGTACCGGAGGGGCGGGCGGGCAGGGTGGACCGGCGGAGCCGGAGGGGCGGAGCGGGCGGGCGCCGCAAGCGCCGCAATAAAAACCGCCCGCCCGCGCCGGGAGAGGCTGCACGTGACCACAACGCGGGCCCCGCCCCGCCGCTCCCATTGGCCGAACCGCGGCGGAGGGGGCGGGGTCAGGCGGGGGCGCAGGCGCGGTGGCCGCCGTGGCTCCATTCATGAAAACGGAGGGAACGGCGGCGGCCACGTGGTGACCGCGCGCCCGATCGGGGGGGGGGGGGAAGGGGGAGAGTTCGTGACCCCTCCTGTCCCCCTCTCCCACCTGCTCCGGCCCGGGGACCCCCGGGAGTGCCCACATCCACATCCTGATCCCCGAGATCCCCATCACGGCCTCCAGGCCGCAGGGATTCTCCAGTCCCCCCTGGATGCCCGACCACAACCCCAGGTACCCCCAGCCCCCTTGGGGATACCCCAGCCCCTCAAGATGCCCAACTGCGGCCCTAGGGGCTCCCCAGCCCCCTGGCGTAGTCACCTGAACACACGTTTGTGCATCCACAGCTCCACAGGGCCCGTAGAGTCTCTTTATTTCCCCGAACAATTAAATAGCAGTATTTCTTTTGTTTTTTTAAACACAAGTGGTTAAAAGCAGGCTGCCCCTTGCCCCCCGGGGTGAGCCCCGCTGCCAGGGCAGGCAGGCGAGGGGGACATTTATATTACCATTTATAAATAGAAAAATAAAACTCTCAAGCAGGGCGGGTTAGCAGTTAGCACAGTTAGAGCCAGGCCTGGCACGGGGTCCCTGTGCCCACAGCAGACACCCAGTCCAGCCACCCTGGGGACACTGTGGGTGCCAGGGACAGACCCAGAGCTGGGGGACAGGCAGGAACTGCTGCCAAGTGCTCGCTGTTGAGCTACCGTGGCACCCCAACAGTGGGATTTGGCCCCGGGACGGGGTCTGGTGGTGCCCAACAGACACCAGTGCAGTGGTTAATAAAGCAATAAATACCAGGGGAGCACACGGGGGTCTGGGGCGCAGGGACCTGGCTGGGTGGGGGTCCAGGACACGGGACAGGGCTGAGCCAGGCCCCTGCACCACCCTGTGATACCCCACCCCATGGATCCCACCCCTACACCCCCCACCCTGGGGCAGCGCTGGGCCCAGAGACCCCCAACCTCCCCACTCAGCTGGGGGTGCCCCCTGCCCCTCCTCCCCGAGCCCCAGGGGTGCCCAGGGCCGGAGCCCCCTCGCTTCCAGCGCGCGGCACCACCTGCCCTGTGGTGATCGGGGCGAAATGGGGACCCCCTAGAGCTGCAGGGCCTCGTGGCCCAGCACGCCCCCCGCCAGCCGGTAGAGCAGGCGGGAGTACCAGTGCATGCCCGCCTCGGGCACCGTCCCGTTGGCCGGCGGGGCGCGGGCGGGCAGCAGCGCCAGCAGCCCGTGGAAGAGGCGCAGCGGGGCGAAGGCGCGGTGGGCCCAGCGGTGGCTCTCCAGGACGGCGTAGCAGGACGCCAGCACCCCGTTGACCAGCAGGGTCCCGTGGGAGGTGAGCGGGGCGAAGACGCCCACGCCGTCCTCCCGCGAGACCCTCAGCACCCGCGCGGGCCGCAGCCCCTGCCCGCCGGCCCCACGGGCCAGCACGGCGTCGCCGGGGCGCACGCGGCGGGCGAAGACGGGCAGGAAGGCGGCGGCGGAGCCGTTGGCGGCCCCGCGGGCGGCGAACACCAGGTGGGACGGGGTGAGGAGCAGCCGGCGCGCCGGGCCGGCCGTCTCGATGGCCACGAAGGAGGCGCGCCGGCCCGGGTCCCGGTCGAGGAAGAGCAGCACCTCGGTGGGCACCAGGCGCCCACCCGGCTCGGCGCCCAGCACCCAGTCGCCCCGGCGCAGCTCGGCCAGGCCCCGGCGCTCGCCGCTCTGCAGCGTCACGGTGGCGTGGCCGGGGAAGCAGCCGCCGGTGCGGATGGCCAGCGAGTTGTCTGCGAGGACGGAGAAAGGTGTGGGTGTCCCCTGCCGGCCACCTCCACCGGGCCACCACCTCCAGGGGGGGAAACGGCCGCCCCCGGGTCCCCGAAGCACCCCCGGAACAAAGCCGGTATTTTGCGAAGCCCTCCCGCCCCGGTTCCTGCGTGCAGCTCCTGGGCGCTGCAGGGCCCCTTTGTCCGCCCCCGCACTGATGCCCTTTGTTCGGGGCTGGCACGGTGACATTTACGGCCACTTTCGCTTTCTGTCGATTGTCACTTCTGGAGCGGATGGGAACTGCTGGGGGCTGTGGGGCGTGTGGGGCTGGGGACTGCATTGCTGCGGGGCTGCGCTGCTGTTCCCCTCGCTGAGAGCTGAACCGCGAGGGTGGCTCCATCCAGCCAAAGTTCGGAGGGGAGAGAAGGTGTGGGGTTTGCCAGTCTGGTGGCCGGCAAGGCCTGGGTGAGCTGGGCTGTGGCCAGACACCAGCTGAACCCACTGGGGACAGACACCAACTGGAGCAGGGCTGCATCACACACGGATCCGGGATGCCAAGAGGGGGCTGTGGGCTGGGATGCTTATGCAGATGGCAGCCCCCCGACCCCGTGGCAGCCCCTTCCATGTGGTACCTGCTTTGACAGAGACGTGGATGTGTGCCTTGGACTCGTAGTAGACCCAGTCGAAGCCGGCCTCCACGGCCAGGCGGGCCAGCATGCCGTACTTGTGGCGGTCCCGGTCGGACGTGGTGATGTCCAGCGCCCGGCCCTCGTAGTGCAGCGAGTCGGGGAGGTGGTGCCCGTCCTCGTCCCAGCCCTCCGTCACCCGCAGCTTCACCCCCGGCCACATGTTCATCACCGCGATGGCCAGAGAGTTCACCCGCTCCTTGCAGCGCTGGGAGGGGGAAACACCAGCACCGGTGTCACCCCCAGCACCTCCACAGCACCCAGCACCCCCTCACTGAGAGACCCCACACAGACAGACGGACACCAGGCCTTGGAGGGAGCCCAAAGGGGCCACTGGTGGGGGCAGATGGGCTGTTCTCCCCCCGGGGCATAGGGAGGGTCACGGCCAAGCTGCCCCCCCCAACTGGGCGCAGGTTGAACGTTAACGTGCCCCGGGGTCCCGTGGTGGAGCTGCTCCACAGGCAGCCGGGCAGAACGGGCAGGGGACCGGGACGGGGACCAGGGCAGTGTCACCTTCCCTACGGCCACAGCCATGACTGATTAACCCGGTGGAGAGGCTGCGAGGCAGAGCTGGGGGTGCAGCTGACCCTGAACCAGACCCAAGTCTGGCCTGAGGGGGACAGCAGGGGGTCCCGGTGGCTCCGGGATCCCTCTGCCCATCAGCAGCGACAGCACCGACACGGCATGCAGCGGTCGGAGCTGCCCCCAGTGCCCCCCCGCGGTCGGTGAGGTCACAGCGTCCCTCGGTGCCACGGTGCCCTCCCTCTCCCCCGTCCCACGAAGCGGCTCCCGGGAGCGCGGGGCCGCGGGGGCGGGAGCGCGGGGCGCGGGCCCGGGGCGGCCGGGTCCGGGGGGCGGCAGCGGCGGGGGGGCAGGAATGCGCCCGGCCCGGCCCGGCCCGGCGACAATAGGCGCCTTCCAGCCCGGCGCTGACCTCAGGCCCCGGGAATGCCGCCGCGGCCACAAAGGGTCCTTTCAGCCGCCCGCACCCCGGGCCGGCTCCGCGCCCGCGGCTCCGCCGGGCCCCGCCGTCCCGGCCCCGCCGCCTTCGCCGCCCCGGCTCGCGGGAGCTGCCGGCGCCGCGTGGACCACTCGCAGCATCCCCCGTCGCCATGGCGACCGCGGAGCCGCCCCTCGCCATGGCAACCGTGAGCATCCCGACGGGGCGCGGCGCGTCCCGGGCTCCCGGCGCCCCGGAGCCGCCGGGACCCCGTACCCACGGTGCTGCCCCGACGGTCCTGAATGCCCAGTGCGGCTGGACCGCCCCGTCCCAGGGACTCGGTGCTGCCGCGCCGCCGCCGCCAAGGGCCGGGGAAGGGAGCAGGGGACCGGGGCGAGGCACCGGGCGGCCCCAGGGGGGACCCTGTGCCCCGGGAGGCTCCGTGCGCCCAGGAAGGGTCGGTGCCACACGGGAGGCTCTGTGAGCCCCGGGATGGTCGGTGCGCCCCGGCGAGGGTCGCTGTGCTCCCGCCTGCTCCCCCCGCCGCCCCCGCGCCCCTGGGAATGAGGCCGGGCCGGGCGCAGCCCCCACCTCGGTCATGAGCCGATCCGCCCCCGTGTTCTCCTCGTCCTTGAAGATGATGTCGGGGTTGTAGTTGGGCACCAAGTCCCTGAAGCGCTCCGAGCCCCGCAGCACTTTGCCCTCCGCCTTCCCGCTCGCCCCCAGCGTCTGCTCGGGCACGTTGGGCACGAACTGCTTGTAGAGCAGCGGTGAGAGCTGCCGCCGCCCCAACCGCCGCCGCCCCACCGGGCCCCGGCCCGGACCACAGCCCAGCACCGGCGCGGCCAGCAGGCAGGCGGCGAGGCCGAGCAGGACGAGGGCGAGCGGCCTCCACCGGGGCATCCCGCCCGCCGGGCCCCGCTGCCTCCGCGGGCCCCGCTCAGTCTCCGGGGGCACGGGAGGCCGGGGCGGGCATGGTCCCGGTGTGGCGGCCCCCGGGCTTTTAGAAGGTCGCGGTGCCAGGGGCGGGTCGGCACCGTTTCCTTCTCACACCCACGGTCCCGTCGTCGTTGTGGGATCCGCGGCCGCTCGGGACGAGTGACACCCCCCCCCCCCCCGCGCCCTCCAGCCGGTGCCGCCACCCACTCGGGGTGCAGCGCCCGGGCACCGGGAAAGCCCCCCCGCTGCCGATTCCGTGCCCACGGGCCCGGCACCCCCTCGCCTGGCGCTGCACCTCGGTCCCGGGGTGTCCCCGACACAGCCCGAGCTCCGGGGTAAACCCTCGTACCGGGCACCGGCGCCGGACACCAACACTTCCCTCCGGCCACTGCCCCGGGACTGGCACCGGGCACCCGGCTCCTGGCGCTGCCCCGGGACCGTCACTGGGACCTGACCCCGCTCCCCGATCCCACTCCCCCTTCCCGTCTGAATCCCACGCTCCGGTACCGGCTCCTCTCCCCCCTCCCCGCACTGCGCTCCGGTACCGTGACCCCGCCTTATCCCGGTCCTCACGCCGCGATTCTGGTCCTGGGACTTTTCCCCTCTTCTGTCACCGCCTGTCGGGACCGGGGACGCCCCTCTCCCCGTCCCGATCCCTCTTCTCCTCCCGCTGCCCCTGGCACCGAGGACACGGGATATCCTAACGCTGCGCCGCCGATAGCGGCACCTGCTCCGTCCCCTTGGCACAGCCCCGCTCCCGGGACCCTCTCCCTGGAGCTACCCCCGTGCCCTCTGCTCGGTCCGACCCCCGGTCCCGGTCCCCGCTCCTGGCCCAGTCCCCGGTACCGGCTGCCCTGGGTGCCGGTCGGTACCGTGCTCCGCCCGCAGCCGCCCCGGCCGGGCTGCCCCCACCGCGGCCGCTCGGCTCCGGCACTGGGCAGCCCCGTCGGGCCCCGCCTCGGACCCGGCCCCCGGGAGCGGCGGCGGCGGCGGCCACATCCCCCGGGGCCGCCCCCACCGGGCTGCCCTGCCCAGGCCCCTCCGCGCCCCCGGGGCCGGCGCACCCCGAGACCGGGACCGGGCTCCGGCAGGGATGGAAGCACCCCCGAGGCTGGCACCGGGCTGCTCCGGGGCTGCCACGGGCTCCAGCGGGCACACCGGTGCCTCCAGGAACGGGACCCCCCCGGGGCTGGGGCCGTGACCCCCGCCCAGCACCCCCGGAGCTCCCAGCGAAGCACCCAAGGGTGCCGGGGGCCTCGGCGAGGGCAGGAGGCAGCAGCGGGGCGATGGAGAGTTGGGGGCGGGTCGAGGGGGTCTCGGCTACCCCCCCCCCCCTGTCCCGCAGCCCCGGTGCCAGCCCGGGGTGACTGGGAGGGGAGCAGATTGCGGGGAAATCGCGGGCACCGATGGCCTCATTTCCTGCAATATAAACCAGGTTTCCTGCGCTTCCTGCTCAGCCCCAGCCGGGGGGGGTTGAGGGGGGGCCCGGGCCCCCCACCCCTGCCATGGGGGGGTCGGCCTGGCTCGGCCCCAGCCAGGGCAGGATGGGTGGGGGGCCGGAGCTCAGGGCAGTTTCCGCTCTGGCTGCACGACCCCCCCCCATTCCAGGGGCTGGAGCTCACCCTGTGCCCCACACTGGGGGTAGCTGAGCCCCCCTGCCCGTATCCCGAAGCAGCCCAGAGCCCCCCAACACCCTGGGGGTTCCTCAGCCCAGGCAGCAGGCAGGGAGTTGCCCTCACCTGTGGCCCTGCCTGGAAAAACCTCATTAACCCCAGCCAGGAAGAGGGTTAATTATGGCCCCCAGGGAAGGGGAGGGCAGCACTGTGACCCCCCCGGGTAGGGACACCTCGCCCCTGCCCCCGCCATACTCAGCCCTGCCCTTGGGGGGAATAAAACCCCTAGATTCAGATATTTTTATATAAAAAAGAGACACTATTTATTGCTCCAAACAAGCTCTGTGGTAACAGAGAACCAACAGACTCATCACACCAAGCTGCCAAAGAGAGGGGCTTGTCCTTTGCACCCCAGGCCCCCCCTATTAGGGACCCCAAAGGCCTCGGGGTGGGCGGGGGAAAACCAGTGCCCCCCTGCAGCCCCAGGGTGACACGGGGACGGGGTGTGGAGTGACTGTGGGCAGGGGGCCAGGGCAGCCCCCATAGTGTCAGGACAGTCCCCGGGGTGGGGGGACATTTAAAACCCAACCAGACCCCAGGGAGCAGCCCGGGGGGGAGTCGGGGGGAGGCCCGGCCGCTCTCACATGAGGTATGTAAACAGGATGGGGGGGCTGCAGCCAGCACAGCCTCGGGGGCACCCTGCACCCCAGGGGGGTGACAGGGATTTGGCTCAAGGCCAAGGCTCAGTAGCGCAACAGGCTGAGATAGAGCTGGGGGGGTGGCCCCCCCATGAGGTCCTTGGTTCTCCCTGAGTGCCCCAATGTCCCTGAAGCACCAGGTGCCATCAGTGCCACCTCTGTGGCTGGGGGGCCACCCTGGGGGTCACCATGGCTGGGGGGACACGTCACTGTCCTGGGGACAGTGCAGTAGTCCCTGGGTGTCCCCCAGCCTTAGCAGGACTTGACAAGGGGCCGGCGACACGTCACGGGCAGCGGCAGCTTGTGCAGACCTGGGCAGAGGGAGGGTGTGAGAGCTGGAGGGGCACAGGGGACACCCCAGCACCCACCCCCGTGTCCCCATGGCCCCTTCCTCACCGAAGGCGCGGATGAGCTCGGCCTGGACGGCCCAGGAGACCCTTTTCACCAGGCACAGCGTGGTGAGCCCCGCGAAGCCCATGTTGTAGAGGAAGACGATGTAGAAGTTCCCCAGCCAGTTGAAGCGGCCAAAATCCCCCAGGAGGTCAAAACGGGTGATCCCTGCACAGGGGTGTGGGACACCAGTCAGGACACCCCAACCCTGGGGACACCCCCGTCCCAGGGTCACCCTGCTCCCTCCAGGGGCTCACCCAGGGTCCTGGAGAACACGGGCAGTGCCGAGCTGAGCACCAGCAGGGACACGCAGTTCCCGATGATCTGAGGAGAGGAAGGAGGGCTTGGGGGGGGCAGTGCTGCAGCAGGGACCCCTCCAGGCTGGGGAAGGGGCTCCACAAATGCTGGAGAACCACCTGGTTCCTTCCCAGCTTTGTCCCCTCGCGTGGGGACACCACACGGTGCACTGTGGGGACCAGAGGTCCTGCACATCAAGGGGGGCCCAGGAGCCCACCAGCCCCAGCCCAGAGCTCCCACCTTGGTGAGGGGGGTGTCCCTCCGCTCTGGGAGCAGCCGGGTGAAGAGGGGGGAGCTGTAGAAGCCCACGACAGACGAGACCATCAGGTAGCTGTGGGGAGTGTTAAGGAGGAAAACAGGGTGGGACGGCCCTGGGGACAAAAGGGACGTCGCTGGGGACACAAGAGCCCGTCTGAAGGATACAAGATGAGGACGACCTGCAGGGCAGCTCCGAAGGAACCAAAGATGGAGAAGGAGACCTGGCCCAGGGACGCATCCTGTGGGGAGAGGACAGGACAGGTTAGGGGGGAACAGTCCCCAGACCAATGAGGGACACGACCCCCCTCTGTGCCATCCCCCTGCCGGGTACCTGGATGCCCCGTGGCATCGCGGCATCGTCCAGCAGCAGCTCCAGGACGTGGAAGCAGACGATGAGCACAGAAATGCCCTGGGAGGAGCAGGGAGGCTGTGAGGGCAGTGGAGGGGACAGGGAAGACCCCCAGCTCCCCTGGGTGCCAAGGGCCACTCACCGTCAGCGCCAGGAGGCCCAGCATGGCCAGGGGGTAGCCCAGGTTCCTCTGCCAGGGCGATGCTCGGTGCCGCAGCTCTGGGGGGTGACGTGCCCAGGTGAGAGGGGAGCACGGTCCCCACCCCAGGGCAGGAGAGTGAGGGGTCCCAAGGTGCCAGGACAGGGGGTAACAGCCCCCATCCCCTTTCCCATCCCCCTCCCTCCATGGGGCACAGGCTGCTGGGGCCCCCGTGCCCCCAGTGCCAGGCTGGAGGGAACCCAGCTATCCCAGTCGTCCCCCCCAGGCTCCTCACCCAACTTGCGCCTCTTGCTCCGGATGGCGAAGAACTGCTCCCGCAGCAGCTCCACGTCCAGGTTCAGCCAGCAGGAAGCTTTGCCTGCCAGGGAGGACACACCCAGGGGCTCAGGGGGGCTCAGGGGGGCTCAGGGGGGCTCAGGGGGGCTCAGGGCTCACGTGTGGTGGGGCACAGGGATCCCCAAACCACCCTGTGCTTCCCCTTCCCGTGCTGGGCACCCACCAGAGCGGATCCTGCGGGACACAGCGGCCTCCTCAAACCTCGTGCAGCTCAACTGCTCGTCCAGGTCTTCCAGGAGCTGGGGATGGGTGAGGAGCCCGTGAGCGGCCAGTGGGGGGGCATGAATGGCTCCCCACGCTCCGAGTGGGAGAGCAGGCAGCCCTGGGGATGGTCCCAGCCAGGCTGGGGCAGCGGGATCAGGGAGGGGACACCTCCTTACCCGGGGTTTCACCAGCAGCTTCCCCGTGACGGTGAACATGGTGGAGAGGCCGAAGGGGGTGCACACTGTGGTGGGAGGAGAGGCTGAATAGGGGGTGCTCCAGCATCCAACCCCTCCCAGCACCTCCAGGGGACCCACAGCCAGCACAGGACAGGCCACTGGGGCCGGGGCACCTCGAGGGGCATCCAGTGACTTACAGAGCAGAAGTAGCACACCAAAGAGGGAGATGCAGGAGTAGAGGTAGGGCAGGTAATATTCCCAGAGGTCTGTGGAGACGGCAGGATCAGGCCAGGGGCAGCAGGCACCCCGTCCCATTCAGTGCCAGGGCCTGGTCCTGCCCTGCCAGAGCTGGGAGAGCCCAGGGCACCCCAGCAGCACCCACCATAGAGCGACTGGCGAGTGGCAGCGTCGTTGCCCACGATGGCAGAGGCCACCCAGACCATGCCCAGCACCAGCAGCGTCAGCAGCAGCAGCACCACCGACGTCTCGTACACCCTGGCCATGATGCCCTGCGGGAGTGGGGTTAGTGGGGAGCCAGGGATGGGGGGCACAGGGGGGCACATCTGCAGGACCACCCACCTTCTTGGATCCTGCAAACCCCTCTGACTCGGTGAAGAAGTAGGCAAAGGGCATGAGGAAGACGAGGGACAGATTGGAGAAGAGGAAGACCAAGTTCCAGAGGCCTGGGGGAGGGGGAAGAGCACGGGGTGAGTTCCAGGGGTGGGGGAAGCCTGACCCAGAGCCCTCGAGGCACTCACAGGGTCACCCCGTGCACCCACCGTGGACAAGGGAGCCGTTGAGCCACTGGATGTAGTAGTTGTGGGGGAAGGAGAGCAGCACCTCGTTGCTGATGATGGAGAAGGGCAGGAGGAGGACGGCGCCCAGCGCCACGGCCAGGGTGAAGGTGCAGAGCCCCAGCCTGCCAGAGGGACGGGTGTCACCTCCGGGTCAGGGCCCCTGAGGGTGTCACAGCCCAGCTGTGCCCCCCAGCGTCAGCAGCACCCATGGGACAGGGTGTCCCCGCCGAGTTGCAGGGAGAGGACAGGCAGGAACTTACGCAATCCTGTTGACAGCAGCATCCTCGTCATCGTGCACTGCGGGGACAAAATGCCAAACTGAGGGGCTGGGGGAGGCAGGGCTGCCTGGAACATCGCTCCCTGCCCCCTCCCCAACCTCCCTCTGCTCTGAACAGAAACCCTCCCGGGGAACTGGGCTCTGCTCTCCCCTGGGGCAGCTGGTGGGTGCCCTGCAGGGATGGGTGTCACGGAAACCCAGGCTGGGGAGGGCCTGGAGAGGCTGGAAGTGATGGAGAAACAACCCTGGGGAGGTCAAATGTGGCTGCCAAGGGCTGCCCAGCTCTGGTAGCTCCTACCTGCTGTGAAGTCCGTGTGCTTCTTGAAGTGGGTTATGATGAAGTGGCAGAGGATGTAGAGGCTGGCGAAGAGCAGGGCACAGATCTGAGGGCAGAGGAGCATGGGAAGCACAGGCAGACCCAGAGGGCAGCGCTCCTACTCCAGCTCCCACCCTGGGCGATGCCCCGGGGCCCGTCGGCTCCACCCTATTTGTTTTTCCACTCCTGGCC